CATCTTCGATTCTTCACAGCCAATGCAAACGCACCGCTCGGCACCGTCGCCGAGCCACGCGCTCATGTTGACTTGCCGCGAGCCGCCGTCGCCCCTTCGCACGGCCGCGTTGCACTGCGAGCCCCGTCGCCCTCCGCGTGGCCGCGTAGCGCCACCGCGAGCGCTATTTCACCGGCCGCGCACCTGCGTCGGAACGCTATTTGGGAGATCTGCGAGGTTAGTCGCCCACAAGCCGTTTGATCGGAAGAAGATTGGGGAGGGCGGGGATTGATCGGAAGGATGCGCGCCGGCATAGAGGATCACCGGTTAAGGAGAGAATGAAATGATTTGGTCTCAATGGGGTCCATCAGCATTACGTGAAAAACAGTCGGTACCAATGGAAGAATTTTTTTTTGGCGGTTGGTGATGGAGTCGTCCCTACAATGGCGCGCTCGGGAGCCACGACACCAGCTGCCCCTACAAATGGAACAGCAGGGGCGGCTGGTGATACAAGCTGCTCCTACAAATGGGCCGGATTTGTAGGGGCAGCTCACTCATCAGCCGCCCCCGGTGTTGCTATTTGTAGGGGGTGGCTGGTGATTGAGCTGCCCCTACAAATGCCCCGCGTATAAATACCTGCGATTTGTAGGAGCGGCTCAATCACCAGCCGCCCCTACAAATGATCCACATATAAAATAAACTACATCACCTTCTTTCCCCTCGGGTCACTCACTCCAACCCGTGAAAAAAGGTGAGGAGGTCTTAAGCACCTTCCAAAAATTGCTCTACTAAGGAGGAAAGATTTTGGTCTCACATCCTTTGGTGGAGAGGTTGTAGAAGGTAAGAAAATGCTATTCCATATTTTTTGAAGTTTTAATAGTTGATTAGTGAGTAATTAGAGTTTTGCTTTTCTCTCTCTTCTATGGTGCTTGAGCTACTTATGAAGTAAATTAGACTCAAATTTTGAATGTACTTGAGTAAATTAGGTAGGGGGACAAGATCATACCCTTATTTGGTCCATGTTTCTTGATTTCAGTGAACAATTAGTCAATTAGTTAGTTTTATGGATGTTTCATGTGCATGTAGGTCTAAACCTAGGGTTTTGTTTTTTTATTAATTTTATTTTTGTAAATTTATGTTTGATGAAATTGGACTAGGGTTTGCATGAAAGATATTGGGTAAAATATAATTGTTGCTAATTGTTGTCTTTAAAATTGTTTATTGTAATCAACAAGTATGTATTTTTATTATTTATGGATAAATGGATCATTAATTAATTTTCCTCTACCATGGTGTGTTTGTATGCTTCGTGTAATTATATTTGATTTATATTCATATATATCTGAAGTATATATAATTATTCTCAAGTAATAATTAATTTTATTCATTTATATATATATATATGAATAAGTTGTCCTTTAATGTTTGTTTTTGTTGTTGTTGTAAAAGATGGAGTATAGGAACTTTTTGATGTATGGTTCGTTAAGGTTCAAGGCAGATTTTTATGAAGAGGTGGATAAATTTATTGAAGCCGCAAAGAAGCATGCAACGACGTTGATAGAGAATAATGATACAATTATTTGTCCCTGTAAAGATTGCACGAATCGTATGGCATGGATAGATGTGACTATCATCAGATCACATTTGATTATACGAAGATTTGTTGAGGACTACACAGTGTGGATTCATCATGGTGAAACGGTTATTGTTAACGACGAGGATGAGGAAGAATACGACGACGAAACCCTAGAATCTCTGTCCCAATATTCAGCAGAGCTTGATGCACGAATGGATCCCGAGTTTGGCAATGAACAAGGTGGTGATGCTGGTGGTTGGGATGGTAACGATGAAGGTGGTGCCAATAATGATGGTGGAGCACGTGTCAGGGATGAAGATGATTTGGAGGACATGATTCGAGCCCTTGGACCAGAGATTTTACTAAAGAACCCGAAAGGTCTATAAAATTTAGAAAGGGTGATAAAAACATCGAAGGAGACTGTGTATAGTGTTAAAAAGGGTTGTCCGACACATTGGACATTACTACGTTTTGTGCTTGAGCTACTCATCCTGAAGGCTAAGTACGGCTGGTCAGACTATAGTTTCAATAATCTATTGCGTCTCCTACCATGAGTGCTGCCACAACCAAACTCAGTTCCCGCCAACACATACCAAGCGAAGAAGGTCATAAGTCCATTGACAATGGGGGTTAAAAAATCCATTCATGCCCCAACCACTGTATATTTTTTCATGGCAAAACATTCAAGTCACTGGATAAATGTCCGCGGTGTGAGGCCAGCCGGTACAAGAACAATGACCTTTACGGTGGGGACGAAGCCTCCACGGGGAAAAAGAGAAATAAGAAGGGTACAAAAAAGGTGGTACACGAATCTCAGCCCCTAGAGGACACTCCATTAGGCAACGATGCAAAGCAGAGAAGAATTCCTACCTTGGTAATGTGGTACCTGTCAGTGACCGACTGCTTGAGACGTATCTTTCTAAACCCTAAAGAAGCCGCACTCATGATATGGTGGGATGATGAGCGCAAGGTGGATGATGATAAGATTGCACACTCGGCTGATTGTAATCAGTGGCAAAGGTTCGATGAGAAGCACAAAAAATTCAGTGATGACCCAAGGAATGTACGGTTTGGCTTGAGCACCGATGGAATGAATCCCTTCAATGAGAGGATGAGCGACCACAGCACTTGGCCAGTGATCTTGACTATGTACAACATCCCAACGTGGTTGTGTCAGAAGAGAAAGTAGCTTCTCCTCACTATTCTTATTTCTAGCCCTAAATAACCAGGCATTGATATAGACGTGTTCCTCGAGCCTTTGATGCAAGAAATGGAGAGGCTATGGAGGCATGGGGAGCCGATGTACGATGCGTTCCGAAAGGAGGACTTCATATGTAGAGCAATAATATTTGTTACTACCAATGATTACCCCGCGCTGTTTGCTTTGTTTGGACAGATTAAAGGAAAGATGGGATGCTTGGTTTGCTTGGATGGTACTACATGGGTGTACCTGGATGCATCAAAAAGATAGTTTACCTAAGGAATCGACGCTTCTTAAAGACAAGTCACAAGTATCACAGCAAATTATTCTTTAGATTTTATGACAACACCCCGGAGATTGAACCCCCTCCGGAGAGACGTCATAACAGAGAACACGTGTACAGAATGGTGAAAAACATACGCGTCATCTATGGAAAGAAGAATCCGGATGAGACGAACAGAGATAGAAGCACACCTCCTATCGAAGGCGTACCTTTCAAGAAACAATCGATCTTCTTTCAGTATCTGCCTTATTGGCCAGACTTGGAGGTCCTCCATGCCATTGATGCTATGCGCGTGCAGAAGAATGTCTTTGAGAGTCTCATTACTAACTTGATGGACACAGGCAAGTCAAAGGATGGTCTGAAATCACGGAAAGACATGGTGCAGCTAAACGTGATGCCATAGCTTCACCCGGTACCTGAGGCTAATGGAAAATACACTCTACCCGCGGCGTGCTTCAACCTAACACCAGACGAGAAGAGAGCTATATGCACTTTCCTGAGGGGGGGTCAAAGTCCCGACAGGATTTTCAGCGAATGTGAAGAAGCTAGTGTCGATGAAGAACTTATCAATAACACACTGCAAGGCTCACGATTGTCATGTGATGCTGACAGTGTTTCTACCTATTGCAATAAGGGCTATAAAGCCAGAGTTCTTGAAAATGGCCATCACCCGCATGTGCTACTTCTTTTCGAAGATCTCACAGAAGACGATTGGCAAGCAAGAGCTAAGTGACCTACATAAATTTGTGGTGGAGACACAAAACCAACTAGAGATGTGTTAATCTCCTGCTTTTTTTGATATAATGCAACATCTCATGATTCACATGGTTCATCAGATACAGGCGCTAGGCCCTTGCTACTTGCATGAAATATGGTCCTACGAGCGGTTCATGTCGGTTCTAAGTCGATATGTGCATAATCGAGCATACCCAGAGGACTCCATGATAGAGGGTTACAGTACTGAAGAAGTCGTCGAGTGATGTTAAGAGTACCTAAAAGTACATAAAGGGATTGGTAAACCCGATTCTCGTCACAAGGGTTGGCTGGCTAGGAAGGGCACCAGTGGTAGAAAAGTGTTCATCGACCATGATTACAAAGAGGTGAGTCGGACGCCCCTATAAATATGTATTATAGGGACGGTTCTAGATTGAACCGCCCCTACAAACAGGTATTATAGGGGGCGACTGGTACTACAACCGTCCCTACAAATACATGATTTGTAAAGACGGTTTGGTATGGGTGGCTAGCCAAACCGCCCCTATAAATGTTCTTGAGCCGCCCCTATAAATCCTTTATGTAGTAGTGCAGGTTTTATTCTGTAATGATGTGTTTTATCCTGATCAAACTCTGTTTCTCTTTTTTCGAATAAATATCGTGCTAACTCATAAAATGGTTGATATTGTATAATAATTAATGAGAAAGAAACTCGTTTGAAAACCACACTGACACTGGACTAACCTGCTTCAGTCCATCTACGTACACTAACATCCGGCACTGACCATTCAACTCCCGCTCTTGGCCCCACGTGTCAAACTCACGTCGACGCGCATCCATGCCAGCGCCCCTAACCTGCTCCAGTCCACCTACATACACTGACATCCGGCACTGACCGTTCAACTCCCGCTCTCGGCCCCGCGCCGTGAGGAATTCCAAATTCTTTTCCGTGGCCGTTCGTAGGCTAATGACTTTTACGGCTGATAAATTGATTTATTACGAGAGAAATTTTTTTATCATAACTTATAAATCGGATTAATAAGTTGAGGCGAACATGCCCTACGTTCTAGCGGGGTATAATAATAACGACCGTGCGAAAGATTTGATGGGAGATTTCTTTCTCGTAACCATCATCATCGGGGAATCTTCTATTCCGAGATCCCTTCCGCCTTCCCCGCCTTCCCCTTGTCCCATCATCCGGCGCTTCCATTTCTCCCCTTCCTGCGCCTAGTCGGCGCCTCACCGCCATGTGGGCCCCACCCGCGGCGTCGCCGACGGGGGCGATTCCCTCGCTCCGGCCGTCGCGGGCGGCGGCGGTCCGCGTCCTCGTCACGCTGCCTGCCGCCGCGCGGCCGCAGGATCAGCCGCGGCGGCGGCTCTGTCTCGCGGTACCGCCGCCCGCTCCGGAGATGGCCTCTGCGGCTGCAGAAGGGGAGGGGGAGGAGGAGGAGGAGGAGGAGGAGGAGGACGTGGTGGTGGTAGAAGGGGACACGGAGATGAAGAAGGCGGTGGAGATGGACGCGGCCGTGAGGCGGGAGCTGGCGATCCGGAGGCTGCGGGAGGAGGCCGAGGCGGAGGCGAACGAGGCGGGGACGAGGAGGGGGAGGAGCAGGAGGGATTTCGCCGTGTTCGAGACCGCCAGGGGCGACGCGCTCTTTACGCAGTCGTGGACTCCGGCCGCCGCCGATCGCCTCAAGTATTCACACCTGCCTACCCCCACTAGCCCGCGACTTTTTTTTTTTTTTTTTTGAATCATACAAGTGCGAGCTGTGTTGGAAAGTGATGAAATCGAGCGGCTGGGTATTCAAACCTGACATGTTGAGACAATTTAGGACCGTGTTATTTTGGCGGGATTGATTTGATAGATGGTTTGGTGGTGTTGGTAGCATCGAGCAGGTGCATAATTCAAAGTCTTTTGTTTGTTTGTTTGTTGTTGCTGTTTGCATTAGGGGAAATCAGTTTTGTCCTGTAGTGAAGGGATATTGGAAAGGATAACATGGCTATGTTCTACTATTCCGGGCCATAAGCTTGCATGTCTCTCTTGGAGCTTCTTCAGGATTAGATCATGCAAAAGCGGGTTACTAATCATGCAAAAGTGGGTTACTACAAGGAAATTTTGTTGGGGACTGTATTCTATTGGACCCACTTCACTCCCATTGGTTACAAGATTTGTTTGCATGTTTGTATTGGTAATGATCGAAACAATACTAGTTTCCTAGATGATTTGGTTAGTAACAGCTCTTTTTTGAATTGTGCATTGTTGGTACCTTTTCAAGTGATGATATGGATTCAACAATGCACTAGCAAACAAGACTTGGTTTACAAATACCAAGGCTACGTGCCTACACGTATGCGTGCTCTAGATATCAAGTCCTGCATGCTCTATATGTTTGGGAAACCTTCAACCTACAGGAGGCATATTATCTTGAACTGTACATGAATGATGAAATGGTTACCAGTTTAATGCATGAGATGATACACTAGTACCTTGAAAGCCTCGTTTTTTTACATTTTATTCTAGTAATTAACTTGTCTTTTACTTTTTTTATGCTTCTCAAATATGCAGGGGCGTTGTTGTATTGTTGCATGGTCTAAACGAGCATAGGTACAGAAAATATGCTATACATGTATTCCATGATTGTTTTACAAAGTGGCTTTTGCTGATAGCATTGATCTGCAGTGGAAGGTACAACCATTTCGCAAAACTGTTGAATGATCAAGGGCTTAAAGTTTATGCCATGGACTGGATTGGTGAGTTACTGTCACATATTAGTGCTCAAGTGTTAATTTGGTACGATCTGCACATTGCTTTGAGTGGTCTCACTAAGACCATGTAAATCAATTGCCTCTAAGCCAATCTGAGATTCTTGATTTTAAGACCTTCAGTCTAGAAACAAAACTGTTATCTATTATGAACTTTAGATGGTCTTACTCTTGAAAAGGATTATTAGGTCACAACACCACAAATGTGCTAGTGATATATTCATAATTTAGATGGTTAAAGACTACTTCATTAGTCCCTTTCAAGTTACTGCAGTGAACTTCAGAATCATGAGGTAGCTACCTCTTTTTAATTCCACATGTCACATTGTGGTAGGATGCCTCAATGAAAGCCTCTCCAAATGTTTCTTATACTTTATTTTGACTTAAACAGCAGTTGAGTTGAGCCAGGTTGAGTCTGACACTCTGACTTGGACTTTATTCTGAATATTGCTATAGATGATACAATGATCAGAAGCTTTTCATATTTAGCAGGTCTTGGACCTTTTGTTGACTCAATATTGCATGTGCTACTCTTCAGTCTTCATTAGTCCTTTCTCTTCTATGCTACTTCATGGAACTGATTTTTACTTTCATTTCTGCTCTTGTTATGCATATATCCGGTAGTTGTCTGATTTTCATCTTGTTGTATTTTGTCTCCGGAGGACATGGTGGAAGTGATGGGGTTCATGGATATGTTTCGTCGCTTGATCATGTTGTTGGTGACTTGGTACTGTTTCATACATACGGAATATGTGCATAGATATAAATTTCAAGTTGCAGTTTTTTCTTGCAGTATTTTCTCGATCTATTTTTGAAGTTCCTTCCTGTGCAGAAAGAATTTCTGGAGGATGTTGTATTGGAGGAAAACCGTGGTTTGCCGTGCTTCTTATTTGGGCACTCCACAGGTGGAGCTATTGTTTTGAAGGTAAAGCAAAGGTGTTTGATTTAATTGACCTTTTCAGTAAGACCGTAGGTCACATAAGCAGGATCGTAATTTCAATTATTTTTCCTTTTTTCATGAATGTCCAAAGGCCGTGCTGGATCCTTTTGTAGAACTTCATGTAGAAGGTGTGGTCTTAACGTCGCCAGCTATTCATGTTCAACCATCTCATCCAATCATCAAAGTAAGCAATAGATGTTTGTCTTCAACGAAACTATACCCTTGTCATTATTTTCTGTGTAATGCCATCCTTCTACACGAGTACATGAGGGAGATTGTCTTGCATGTTCGATTTGTTCTTCACTTTATTGATTTGAAATGAAATAAACTGGTCTTTGTACCTGGCAATCCAAGGCAGAACTGAATTTCCAATGATTCATTATCATGCCTGTTTCTATAGGATCAAGAAACCATTTTGTGTTACACAAGAATTTTTGTTTGACTGCAGCACAGAACCCATTCATTTAATGTTCTTCTTTAGGTCATATTTATGTTTTGATCTGGACGATCTGGTTATTAGTGTCTGCAACAGGAACCTCAGTGGGGCCTTTTCCTATTGTTGGACTCTGAAATGTTTATATTTTGTCATTTCTCCAAACATCAGGTTGTTGCACCAATATTCTCCATGCTAGCTCCAAAATACCGAGTCAGTGCTTTGCATAAGAGAGGACCTCCTGTTTCACGCGATCCAGAGGCTCTGAAGATTAAATATTCAGATCCCCTTGTGTATACTGGACCAATTAGAGTCAGAACTGGCAATGAAATACTCCGGATATCATCATTTTTGCAAAGAAACTTGAGCAGAGTTACTGTCCCTTTTCTTGTTCTACATGGTACAGCTGACACAATAACTGATCCGAGAGCGTCAGAGCGATTATACCAAGCATCAATGTCAACAAATAAATCAATAAAATTGTATGATGGATATTTACATGATCTTCTCTTTGAACCTGAAAGGGATGATATCGCAAATGATATCATCAATTGGTTAAGCACAAGACTTGATGTTCTTCAGGGATGGTGAGGTGAATCAAGAATCAACTACAAGGTGCTTCCTCTTATGTAGTTACCAACTGTTTTACTGGACTGTATACATGGCATAGAGTGCAGAATAGTGTAACTGTAAACTAGGATGTTTTAGGAATTAAGATGCTATCATTATGTCTTCACGGTCATTTCTTGTCTTCAATTCTGTTGTATAAGTTCGGAAAGAGCCTACATGAGATGTAAATAATATTAGAGTTAAGCTGAAAATAAAGTATCTCCTAATACACAGTTAGTTCAGTGCCACTTTAAAAAAAAAAAAGGCTTGGTTCACATTTTTTTTTCTGAATTGCCCTCAGTCATTCTCTCACATCTTTTTTACTTTATCCTGTCAGATTGGAGAGATGAATATTTCAGTAATTAATATTGTAATTTGTAAGCATAGAAGCAAAATTATATGTCGTTGATGTTCACTTTTACTGATATGTTGCTTTTGCTTGGTGTCAACATTCAATTGCAGTTGATTGATGTTTGGTCGATGCTAATAGTAGTCCAATGACATTCATTCTGTATGGCAAAAGTTGCATTGGATGTTTTCTGCTGAAGATGTTAGTATGTTATAAATCTAGTGGCACTTTCATGGACCTATAATGTACTTCCTGCAAAAAAATATAAACCCATCTAGATTTGTCTTAAAGTCAGACTTTTGTAATTTTTATTTTGAGTAGCAATATCAATAAGCATATACTATCTTAAATAAAAGAGGTTGTCTATTATGAAAGTATTTTTATAATGATCTATTAATGTCAATCTTGTTTTGTCAAACAACTTAGATATTGATGGTTGGAAAACTTAAGACAAACCTAGATCAACTTGTATTTATGACGTATAATTATATTGTCTGTTACTGTCAGTTCCATATTCTTATCATTGCTTGTATATATGCTGTTTGTTATAAAAAACTTGTTCTTCTCTCTTTTTTTTCATTTTGAAAGAAATCACCGTTTTTTAATCACCTTTTCCGTGGCATAATTCGTTCATCTGGTCATGAGGTGGATTAATGCTGCATATGTTGTTACTTCTTGATCTCACTACGAAAAATAAGACATGAGGTAGAATTCTGTCTTGCATTGGTTTTGCTTGCTTCAGTGTAAGTTTGTGGAGTAGGTGTTTAGACTTGACATGCCACTGAAAGGTGATTTAGAATAACAATTATATGTTTTCATTAACTGCTTTTTGTCACATCATGTTGGTTTATGGCTGTCCGTTTTATTTCAAGTAAGCAATTGTTCTACTTCTTGGCTGCATGGTTGTTCACATATTCAGTATACTGAACTTATCACCTTCAGTTCTTGTTTTATGCATTTGTATGTAATACTACTGTTGGAGGCAAAGATAATGTAAATTCAATCTTTACTTTAGCCTTCACTGCAACCAGGCTTTTGATTATGCTCCAATAATTTGAGGTACCTTTTTTATCATCTGCTCCAACTGAGCTAGACTGCCACTTTTAAAATGTATGTAAATAGTTAATTTAGCATCTCACTCCTAGCAAAGATGATACTTACAGGTAGTTCCATGTTATAATAATATACCTGTTTCAGTTTCTTTTATATCTTGCAAGTTGGGTTGATCAAAGCTTGTTCTGAAATCACTTAACCAAAAAGTTGTATGTATGAGATATTTGTTTCACATTTCCCTTGGAAATTAATGTTTTTACAATGTTTGTCCAATGGATATAAAATCAAGATTTTGGCATTTTTCTATGAGGTCAAGGTTATGACTACAGTATTATCTTATTACCTTATTTTCATTTTGGAAACAATGAGGAAAAATTTTAATGAGAAATTCTTCAGAACCCTTGATAGTCAGAAGAATTTCAAGTGGTTCTGGATCCCTTCAAAAGGGAAATCTGGAGGAATGCTTAGTGGCATTAGAACTGAAAGATTTGACTTGGAAAATTTTGAGAGTGGCGAATACACCATTGTTGCTAATATTCATGACAAAGTGCTGAATAAAAACCTTTCTCTTGTGAATGTCTATGGGCCTGCTCAAGATGAATATAAAGATAAATTTCTAAGTGAACTTGCAAGTATGTGCCTGAAATATAAATACCCAATGTTGATTGGTGGGGATTTCAACATTCTAAGATTTAGTGAAGATAAAAATAAAAACTTCACACAAAATAGATTCTCTGACATCTTCAATAGGATTATCAATTTGTATGAGCTAAGAGACTTGGCTCCGCAAGGGGGGAAATACACATGGAGTAACAATCGAAATAATCCTACATTGGAAAAATTGGATAGAGTCTTTATCTCTAGCAGCTGGGAGCAGGAATTTCCTTTATGCAACATTAAAAAGATACCCAGATATACTTCTGATCATAATCCCATAATATATAGCAGAGAGCTGAGTCAAAGCAAGAATTCAAAGCCTTTCAGCTTTGAAAATTCTTGGATCAATCATCCAGATTTCATTACTAAAATGAGTGAGATCTGGAACAAGAAAGTAATAGCAAAAAGTAACATTGAGCAATGGTGCATTAAAGTCAATAGAATAAAAAAATTTCTTAAAGGCTGGGGCCAGAGTATTAAAGGTCACAATAGAAAATACAAGAAGTTCCTGCAAGAGGAGTTAGAGATTCTGGAGGAAGTGGATAGTTTACCATCCAATTTGCTGGAGAGGAAGGTGTTCATCCAGAAAGAACTAGCGAAATTTATGGAGGAGGAAAGTTACTGCATAGAAGATCAAACTCAAATTGGTTACTAAAAGGTGACAACAACACAGCATATTTCCATAGGATTGCTAATGGAAAAAAGAGGAAAAACACCATTTTCTGCCTTCAAGGGGATAATGGGAATATAGAAGGAGATGAGTTGATTTCTGAACACGCCACTCAATATTATAAAATTCTCTTTGGCCCTTCAAGCAATTCAAATATTCATGTTGACCCAAACTGTTGGGATCCTGGGGAGAAAATTTATGACGAAGAAAATAAGGAGTTGACTAAAGATTTTGATATGGATGAAATCAAGTTTGCAGTTTTTTCTATGGAGAAAAATACTGCTCCTGGCCCTGATCATTTGCCCATTGAATTCTATCAGAGTTGTTGGAACATCATTAATAGGGACCTCATGAGCCTGTTTAATGATTTCCATCAGAACAACCTGGATATTGGCTGTTTTAATTATGGTGTCATTACTTTACTACCAAAGATAAAGGACGCCAATAAAATTCAGCAATACAGACCGATTTGTCTGCTTAATGTGGTGTTCAATATCTTTACAAAAACACTTATGCTGAGATTGGAAAAAATTATGGGAAACATCATTAATAAATGCCAATCCGGATTTATTAAAAACAGAAACATTATGGATGGGGTGATGGCGCTGCATGAAATCTTGCATGATACCAGAATTAAAAACAAAGATGGCATAATTCTTAAGCTTGACTTCAAAAAAGCTTATGACAAAATCAATTGGAATTTTCTGTTCATATGTTTGGAGCAGAGTGGTTTTCATAGCCAATGGTGTAGATGGATAAAAGATACTGTGACTACTGGAACCCTTAGTGTTAAGGTGAATAATACTCAAGGGCCCTACTTCTCTACTGGGAAAGGGGTGAGACAAGGAGATCTTTTGTCTCCCTTTCTGTTCAATATTGCGGCTGACACTCTTGCCAAAATGATGAATAGTGCTCAAAAGAACAAACTCATAACTGGCTTGGTGCCTGAATACGTTGAAAATGGAATAGCTATTCTACAGTATGCCGACGATACCATCTTATGTATCCAGGATAGCAAGGAGCGGGCTACTAATTTAAAATACCTGCTGTACATATGAAATCATGTCTGGTCTTAAAATCAATTTTAGCAAAAGTGAAGTCATCATGATTAGCCAAGACACAAATAAAACTATGGAATATGCTGATACTTTCAACTGTTCAACGGGTAAATGGCCAATAAAATACTTAGGAGTCCCTGTTTCGGGCTCCAGGCTCCATGTTGCGGATTGGTTGCCACTCAATGAAAAAATCATGAAAAGGCTGGATGGGTGGCAAGGTAGTTCCTTGTCCATTGGTGGAAGGACCATTTTGCTTAATTCTTGTCTAAGTAGTATGCCAACTTATGCCATGTCCATGTACCTGCTCCCTGGTACTGTTATTGGAAAAATTGATAAAATCAGGAAGAAATTTTTTTGGCAAGGAGGGGGAGATGAAAAAGAAATATCATTTGGTGAAATGGAAAATTATTACAAAGCCAAAAAAGAATGGTGATTTAGGTATCAAAGACTTGAAAAGAAGGAACAGAAGTCTTTTATGCAAATGGTGGTGGAAGTTGGAACATGAAGAAGGGGTCTGGCAAGAAATTGTTAAAAAGAAATATTTGAAAAACAATTGGATTTCTCATATTACCCAAAAGCCATCTAATTCCCCTGTGTGGAATGATTTGATTAAAATAAAACACATATATGTTAAAGGGAGAGTAATGCGGCTTGGAAATGGAAAGCGTATTGATTTTTGGCATGATACTTGGTGTGGATCTCTTCCTTTGATAGATAGATTCCCCAACTTATATGATATCTGTTTTGATAAAAAATGCTCTCTGCATACTATTTGCTGTCGTAATTGGAGACTCTTCTTCAGAAGATGGCTCTCAGAAGAATTACAGAATCAACTGCGAGAGTTACATAATATACTCTTCAGGTATAAGGGTGTGTTCTTTTCTCTAGTCCTAGGACTAGAGACTAAAACAGGAACTAAAACAGGAACTAAAATGGTGTTTGTTTACAGAGACTAAAGAGGAGGAGAGAGACTGCGAGGGAGGAGAGAGAGGGAGGGGTATGGGCTATTTAGTCTCAATTAGCAGCCCCCCAAGGGACTACTACATTTTAGTCCCTAGTCCCTGTTTTAGTCCCAGTATTTGGTTCAAAGAGACTAATTGGAACTAAAATTTAGTCTTTAGTCACTTTTCCCATGGAAAAGAACACGTCCTAAGACTAATGAACAGGCTGATGGGGTAACTTGGGAATGGGAGAA